ATCAACTTTTCCAAAATTCCACATATTCCTTGGGGCATTTTAAACACTGAAAAAAAGTATACAGGTAGATTTGTCAATGTCGACTTAATCAGGGTTATTCTACCTCCCCTTGATAGGTAATTTTTCTTCCAAGATGTTAACCTCTTAGTGAATCTCTCAATCATCGGGTTCTAGAAACTCTTTTTACTTGGGTTATCCCCTAGTTGCAGCCCCAAATATGTCAATGGCCAATGAGCGATCTCACAACCCAAAATTCGGGCTCTATCCTCCACTTCACTTTCACTCAAATTAATGCCAATCACACAACTCTTGTCTAGATTCACTTTAAGATTAGTTACACGTTCGAAGACATTGATCACTTGTTTCAGATTACTCACCCAACTTACCTCATCCCCACCACAGAAAAGAATTGTGTCATCTGCAAACTATAGATGTGTTACTGGAACCCTATTCCTCCCTACCCTCCAACCTTTCACCAATTTTCTAGAGTCTGCCCTCTCATTGAGTTTTCCTAGGACTTCAACAATTAGGGTAAAAAGAAAAGGAGAAAGGGGGTCTCCTTGTCTGATGCCCCTGGTAGCCTAGAAATGGTCCACCACCCTACCATTCACTAAAATGGAATAGTGGCAAGTCCTAATACATCCTTTCACCCATTTGCACCACTTTTGCCCAAATCCAAAATACTCTAAGGCTTCCAATAGAAATGACCAATCCACCAAGTCATAAGCCTTTCGAGATCCAATTTGCACATGAGCCCTTTCTTCCCGCTTTTGAAATCTTCCACACTTTCATTTGCAATTAGGATTTGATCCACGATTTGTCTGTTCTTCACAAAGGAACCCTGATTTGGGGAAATTATTAAGGGTAGTACCTCTCTATTCCTCCGAGAAAGCACCTTAGCAATGATTTTATAGAGGTTGTGTACCAAACTAATGGGTCTGAACTCTTTGGGATGACAAGCATCTCCCTTTTTTGGAATCAGAGCCAAGAAGGTAGAGTTTAGACTTGGATTACTCACCCCTCTTTCAAAGAATTCAGAAAAGATCCTTTGAATATCCTCTTTCAGTATCTCCCAGCAGTCTTGATAAAAAGCCATCGTAAATCCATCAGGACCAGGTGCTTTAGATCTATTCATTGAAAATATGGTTACCCTTATTTCTTCCAATTAAAAGCTTCTCTCCAACTACACCCTTGATTCTTCTGGGATTCTTAGCCACTCCATACCCTCAATCTGTAATCTGCTAGACATAGGCCTTCTAAAGATTGATTTAAATTGGTCCACAAAGGCCTCTTCAATCTCCTCTTGCTGAGTCAGTATTGCATCGTTAATCACTAGCTTAGAAATCAAGTTCTTCTTCCTCCTGCCATTGGCTATAGCATGAAAAAAGTTTGTGTTTCTATCACCCTCCTTCACCCCCTTATGTCTGGACTTCTGTCTCCAACTAATTTCTTCTTTGAAGAGGACATCCTCCAAGTTCTTTCTCAGCTCCCACCTAAGCTCCTTTTCCCTTTCCTCAAACAAACCTTGTTCTTCTTTTGCATCTAACTCCTCAATCATGTTCATCAACTGTTGTTTTCTTTCCTCAAGTCTCCCAAAATGAAGAATATTCCATTTTTTGATTTTGTTTTTCAAATCTTTCAGCTTCCATTGAAATTTCATACCCTTCCAGTTAGCCCTTGGATTACTTGCTACCCACCATTCTTTCACTTTCTCCTTAAAGCCTGGGTGGGAAAGCCACATATTCTCAAATCTGAAAGGGATTGGTCCTCTATTCCTAGGCTCCACCTTACTAATCAAGACTGGCCAGTGATCAGAGGTGACTCTAGGCATTGTCCTTGACAACAAATCTCCCCAATGTTCTTCCCAATCAGTAGTAAAAAGAAATGTCTAATTTTTAACAGATTGGATCATCTTTGAGTTCAAACACATTAATAAACTCATTGAATTTCCTCATGCTTGTAGTACTTCTTTGCCACACCTTATTACACTCCTCAATGAATCTAATTACATTAAAATCCCCTCCTAAGCACCAAGGACCTTCCCATAATCCTCTTATATCTCCTAATTCTTTCAACAGCTCATTCCTCTGTCTATAATCATTAGGGCCATATACATTGGTTAACACCCATTCAAATTCATCACCTACCTGTTTGGATTTGACAGAAACTGAAAATTTTCCAATCAATTCTTCAATTCTTTCAACAACTTCATTTTTCCATAGGTTCACTATTCCTCCAGAAGATCCCCATGAGGGGCTCATTCCTGAATTAGTAGTATATCTGGATTCTCCTTTCTTAGCAGCTCCTTTATTAACACCCTCTTTCTTGCATTCCCTAAACCCGCACATTCCAACTCACAATCTTCATATTGCTTTCTTTATCTGTCCCTAATCTCCTTTCTTCCTATCTTACCTCCTTTCCTTCCCCTTCCCTTTCTTTTATGGACTTTTTTCTCCCCTTCCACATCTAGCTTCAGCCTTTCAACTTCACTCATCTTTCTTTTTCTCACCTTCCCTTCCTCTTTTCTATTCTTCAAGTATGTTTTCAGCTCATTCGGATTTTTTATTTTACAACCCAATTTTCCCACAAATTCAGCCAACGACTCTTCTTTTGCTTCTTCCCTTTCAAACTCCTCTGAGTCCATCTCTTCTAACGAAGGGTTCTCAATGGCCGGAAAATGGAGAAAAKTGATTACAACAGAGAGAAAAGAGTTTTTGATGGAAGAAATTATATACCAGAAGAAGCATACGATAAAGATAAGGGAAGGAAGAAGAGGAGGGTCAGCTCTCCCTTCCTTAGAAGAGGTGTTTGCTTGACTTAGGAGGATTTCCATTGGATCTACTGAGAACACTAGTGTTTTTGATAGATCAGCCTTTGTAGTATTGAGAGGCCGTGGTGCTAGAGGTGGAGCTCGGGGAGCTCAGTCTGGCCGTAGTGGTAGTAGTGGACTAGCATATGGCTGGAGTGGTGGTAGTGGACCTACATATAACCGTGGTGGTGGTCATATTAGAGATCGAGATTCAGGGGGAGCTCGTGGCAGAGGTCGTAGTTCGTGTCCGAGGTGTACACACTATGGTATGGATGGACATACCACTCATTATTGTTATGACTTGCATGGTCCACCCTCAACTTGGACCAATCATGCCGTGACTAGTGATAGTAGCTTCAGACATGAGAGTCATTTAGCTGATCAGATACCTCCTACATCCATAGATGTTATCGGGAAGGAGATGATCAGCGTTTCCCGTGATGAGTATGAGAGGTTTGTTCAGGCCACATCTCAACAGAACACAACCACTCTCGCACACTCAGGTATGGCTTGTTTGGCATCCACACCCAATCCTTGGATTATTGATTCTAGAGCCTCTGATCACATGACTGGAACTCTAGGTGTGTTTTCTTCCCTTACTCATTGCTCAACATCGCAATCTGTTACCCTTGCTAATGGTTCCACATCCTTCATTTGTGGTGTTGGTAATGTTAACATGGACCCTTTACCCTTATCCTCAGTTTTGTATGCCCCTAAATTTCCTTTTAATCTTATGTCAGTTAGTAAGTTGACCAAGTTTCTTAATTGTTCTATTACATTTTACCCTTCTTGGTGGAGGGCATGAAGCTGGTGGATTGTGTAGAGAACACTGATGTGGACCCCACTGCTGTGGTCCCCACTGTGTTTGTATGGCAGCATAGCATATTTTTTTTGTTAGTTATGTCAGTGTTAGTTGGTAGTTATTTCAGTTTGTTGTTACAGCTTGTTATTTAAGCTTTATTATTAGTTTATTTGCCATGTAAGCAATATGGGCAATTCAGCCCTTTTACAATTAGTCAACATATATAAATAATAAGAGTGGGTCGGCAGATCATTAAGATCAACCCTCTCTCTCTTTTCTAAAACCCTTCGTGTGCTTCTTCTTTTCTCCCTCTCTTCTTCTTTTCTTCTGAAATCTTTCTTTTTTTTTGCTTTCGAATTCAAGACTGATTGTAGTCTTGATCGACTACTTGGTATCAGAGCAAGGATTAGGGTTTCTCATGTGAGTCTGATCCAGCCAACCACATGAGAGTTGCCTAGTCTGATCCAGCCAACCACATGAGGGCTGTCCAAAGAGTGGATTGTGTTCTTGATAATCAGGAAGAATCAGAGGAAGATAAAGAGTCCAAGATCAGTTTCTTTATCAAGACTGAAGGTGGCGATCAGAATTTCTGATCAAAACCTAAAACTGGTTGCAGAGAAGGAGGTCTTATGTTAGTCTAATTAGATTGACTACATGAGAATTTCCTAGGTTTAGAAGTTTTTCAACAAAGGAGGATCGGATGATTCTTGGAGGCTACTGGTAGTGTGCGGCTACTACTAAGAAGATTGTAGAAGGCTGGGAGAGTTCCAGTAGTCAGGAAGAATTAGAAAAGGCTTTGGATCCCCAAGATTAGGGTTCTGCATCAGACAGAAGGTGGCGGCCAGAGATTTTCTCTCATAAAGGAAGTTTTTCTTTGCTTGAGAATAACCTTGAAAGAATCATCTTGGTCTATTCTGAGAGGTGCGACTGGAAAACCTTTTTTTTCTTTCTAGGGTTTTGAGAGAAAACCCTAAACTTGTTTTTGCAAATCCACTTTCGTGGCTATTATTGTGTTAATACTCTGTCCAAGACTGAGAGTTATCTTTATCCTATTAAATATGTTCTTTAAAGGAAATGCTAGTGGATCAAACAACAGAGAAACTGTGTGAAGATAATATCATAATAGTTTCACTTTCATTTTTTTTTCTTTTGGGGGGGTGAAGGAACTTTTTGGTTCACATAGTATCAGAAGCAATATCATGCATTTGCTTCTCCTTGGAGAGAATGTTTTGGTAAACTTATGCATGTTGTGGACTATGTTTACACTTTTTTGTGCTCACAATTGTCATGTAATATACAAAAGTTGTGTAGTGTTTCTTCTTCTTTAAGTTCTTATGTTAGTGGACATTATGTATCTATTTTCTGAGGTTATGAATTTTAAATTGACAGGAAACATGGAGGCAGCATGTAACTGGTGGAAAGCTTAGGGAAATAACCGAGGAAGCCAAAAGTTTTGCAGTTGGAAACAAGTCTCTTGCTGCCCTCTTTGTTCATACTCCAGCAGGTGAACTGCAGCGTCAAATCAGATCCTGGCTTGCTGAGAACTTCGAGTTTCTTTCTGTTACTGGAGCTGATGCTATTGGGGGTACGGCTGGTCAGTTAGAACTTCTTTCAACAGCAATTATGGATGGATGGATGGCTGGTCTTGGTGCTGCAGTTCCACCCAGTACTGATGCTCTTGGTCAGCTTCTATCTGAATATGCAAGGAGGGTTTACACTTCTCAATTGCAGCACTTGAAGGTATATGTAGTATATTTGATGTTTAATTTTGCAAATGTAATCTTCTCAACAGATTGAATTCAGGTCACCCTTAATGGAATCTGATTTGGATTTGAATTTGGATAATTGGATACTGTTTGCAGACCTAGATGGGTGCTGAGACTTGGAAAAAGTCTAAGTTAAATGAGTTCCCGATGTTATTTAGGGGCTTCTGTATATATATTTTTTGATAGCAATGCAAATTATATTACCTTTTTCATAAAAATATAAATAGGAGAATAGAAAAGTATAAAAAGAAAAATAAAATTGTATGGTTAGTCATGTTAGCTTCGTAGGATGAGAATAAACCTTTCTGCAATGACTAACATAACATGGATCACAACAAAAGTGTACAACGACAGATAAAAAGAAAAGAAATACATACATGGTGTTCATAATACTTTAATACCATCTTATTATTATAAGCTATGATATCCATACTTGTACATCTCCAGTGTACCAGTGTCAGATTTGATACTGGATACTGCATTGGGTACTTCTATATGTGCTTTATGGCATTAAAACTTTTAAAATGTGTAAGTTTAATTAAATTGGGTATGTTTAACTATACAATAAAAAAACATATGTATGTGTTAGAAGTTTAATTAAATTTGGCAAGATATAAGTCTTGAAAAATGACATTTAGCTAGTTAAATAGATACCAGTGCCCTTATCTGTGTCCAGGATTTTTGCAAACAGAGAATCATATTCCCATTTTTCATATCTGTATCTGTATCTAGGCATCATAGATTATAAGGACTCTGCCCGGTCACATAAAATCATCCAAGTTGGCCTCCACAGGAGTCAAGTCAGTCATTTGCAAGTTTCACCTATTTGGTTAGCTACTATCCAGGGTGCATTTGCATTTGATACCTATAAGCTGGGTGACATTTCATCACTACATTTTTAATTATTGTGCACTTTTATCAATTTGTTTGTGTTATCTTGTTGATGTACATTCTCTTGATACTTGCCTTGGTCCTTGATTAGGATATTGCAGGTACCTTGGCAACTGAAGAGGCAGAAGATCCAGCACAAGTAGCAAAGCTGCGCTCTGCCCTTGAATCTGTTGATCACAAGAGAAGGAAGGTATCTACTTCTGATCATAAATGGAACTCTGATTTGTCTTTGTTTATATAAATACCTAGTCATGTGTGAACAATTGGATTTATATCTTTTGCATTGTAAGTCTCCTGTTGTTTAGAACCTAATAAACCTTTCAAACCATATTTCCTCCTCTGGACTATTTGATATCTGTCTTTATTTCATTATTGTAGTCATGCTTTGATCTCCATTCCAAGATCCACATTTATATCCTTGTAATTGTAAGTTTCTACTTTCTTTCTTTTCTTTTTCTTTCTTCTTTTCAACACTTCCGTTTTTCCTAAACCACATCTTTTGTGTCCATAACCTGTAGGATCATTTCCCTGCCGAATGCGGACTATCATGCTTGAGTTTTGTTATCACAATTCTTGGCTAGTGGTTAACTTCATTTCGCACTTGTGTGGTTTACTATGATACTTGCCTGGATAAACCTTATACATGTAGCATACAGATTGAGGACACAATACATACCTAATATGACAATAGATATTGCATGGATATCTCTAGGTTATACTTTATAGCATCAACACAAATGCTATGTTAAAAGGGACCATAGGGTTGGGTGGGAAGTGGTGTGCAGGAGCAAGAGGGATGAAGGCCTTGGCATCGGGAATATAAGGAAGAGAAATTTGGCACTACTAGGTAAATGGTTATGGAGATTCTCACTAGAAAAAAGAAAAGTTGTGGACTAGGATAGTGGGCAGTATTCACAGGCTTGTTGAGAACGGATGGGACTCTAGGATTTTGGCTAGGACTACAAGGGCATCATCCTGGAAAGCAATCCAAGCTATTTTGCCTCTATTCTCTCCATGGATCAGGTATGACTTATACTTAGGCAGTCTCATTAAATTTTGGAAACATGTTTAGATTGGGGATAGTCCTTTAAAAGACCAATTTTCGGCTCTCTTTGGTATCTCTACTTTTAAGAATAAACTAATATCCTCTTTCCTTGTTCCCTCTAATTTGACTTCTGGCTTTGGTTGGAACTTGGGTTTGAAGAGAGATATTAGGGACTTAGAATTGGAGAGTACTTTGTCTATGTTATCCATCCTTGAAGGGGTTTTCTGGAACCAACAAAGATAGATAGTAGAATTTGGACCCTCTCTCCTTCGAGTTCCTTTACTGTTTCTTCTTTCTTTAAAGCCCTAGCACAACCAATTGTTCCTTTTGGTTTGTCTTTCCTTGTCAAAGAGGTGTGGTATGAACCTATTCCTTCGAAGGTTGGGAGTTTCTATTGGGAAGCCTTTCTTTCTGGAAAGAATTAACACAGATGATTTGTTTCAGAGAAAAAAGCCCAATAGATGTTTGTCTCCCCACTGGTGTGTTCTTTGTAAAGCTGATGGTGAGTCTAGTGTTCACTTACTAATCTCCTATCAATTTGCAAAATATATTTGGGAATGGTTTGCTTCTTTGTTTGGGTGCAGGTGTAATTCTCCAATGAATGCGCGAAGCTTGTTTACTTCCCTTCCCTCCGACTGGCCAACAAAAAGGGCGAGATTATGTGGAGATGTGTTAGGACAGCCATATGCTGGACTGTTTGGGAGGAAAGAAATTTAAGGATTTTCTCAGAAAAGGAAAGAAGCATGGAAGCAGTTCTATAGGTGACTCACATAAGGATAATTTAATGGCTGAAAACTCTGGATATGTTTGCAGATTTCTCAGTGGATGGTTTGCTAAGAAAGTGGAAGGAAATTGCAAATTCAGCTTCAATTTGGAAGGTCTCAAGTTCCCATTGGAACCCTCCACCTCTCGGTTTTATCAAACTGAACTTTGGCAGCAGTATGGGCAATCCAGGGCCCTCTGGAATAGGGGAGACTCCCTGAGGGCAGAGATACTAGCAACCATGGAAGGGGTACAAAGGGCTAAAGATCTGAATGTCAATAAAATGATCATAGAAGGAGACTCTGAGACTATAGTGAATTGGTTAAATAAAGACACCTCTAGGCTTTGGAAACTACAGCAATGAGAAGAGGAAATTTAAATGGTTTGCTAAGAACATAGAAGTTCGATGCAGATGGGTAAAGAGAAGTGCAAATTCATTTGCTGATGGCTTAGCGAGGCAAGGGGTGAATAAGAGTTCTGTGCTTTGGGCTCAGTTGTAACTGTTTTTTTGTTCCTTGGGTATATGTTTGACTGTCTTGGGGAGTTAAGAAATTTTAGCTCCTCTCCTTTGTAATATTATTCTCTGTGAATCTTCAGTTAGTGATAAAAAAAACACAAATGCTATGTTTTAACAAATAATACTATAAAAATCAGTATATGTTAGAATCAGTGTTTTAAAAGATGTGGGAGGTGTACACCTGGAGGTGCGCCTTTTTCATGAGGCGTGCTACAGGCATGGGCCTCACACACACCTCATACAAAAAGACAGAAAAAAATAAAGAAAAAAGAAAGGAAAGGATGGGAAAAAAGGAAGGAAAGGGAAAGAAAGAAAGAAAGAAAGAAAAAGAAGGGGAAAAGATAAAAGAAAGAAAAGAAAAGGACCCCCCCCCCTTTCAGCCAGTATTGTGCTTCTTTGTTCTTCTTAATATAAAATATTCTTATTAAAAATAAAGAAAAATGAGATCCTCCTTCCTCTTATTCCTCCTCATCCCCTCCTCTTAAGGAGTCTTATGCCTCCTTGTGTTCGAGAGGCCTATGCCTCTTATGCTCTGAATAAGTATCAATCAGAACCTTAGCTAAATGTGACAGGACACAAGTATCAATGAATGACAGATCGTGCACACAATACATACCTAATATGACAATAGATATTGCATGGATCTCTCTAGGTTATGCTTTATAGCATCACCACAAATGCTATGTTCTAACAAATAATACTATAAAAACATCTTAGAGGTGCAACTTGGGTGGGCTTGGGTTGGGCTTTTCTCCAAATTTGAATGGGCACGTGTAAAGGCCTGAGCCCTAAGCAGTGTAAAATGCTAACTCTGGAAAGATATAAGTATCAATGAGTGACACTTGATATAAGCACATTAAATGGGATAATCATACCAATATATGTGCCCAGGATCTTAGGGAATGAGAGTCTTATCCTCCTCTCCCATATCAGTTTCTGTGTTGTTATCCATATTTAGGCATCATAGGTGCTTTTTATGTAAATACGAATTTCAATACTAATTGGGGTGGTTATTTATTTTATTCCCTTGTGGGACTGTACTTTTTTTAAAGGGATTTCTTATCAATTGTGTGTTCTATTCCTTTATATTTCTACCAATAATGATTTACCTGGTGAATATTTTCTGATTTATTTGTTCTGGTTTTATCATGCTTAATTATGTCTGATGTATATTTTAGAATGTATTGGTTATTAATATTTAATCTGAAGTTCAGAGAGGTGATGTCCTAGACCTTTCTTTTAGACTGTTACATTTCTAATAAATAAGTCTTATACCTGTATTTCTATATCAAATAAACTTCTTTGAACTGTCAATTGACCATGTTCAATTGCTTAGTAATAATCATACTCATTGTAGGTTTACCTGAATGCCTCAGTAAGTTGGTGACTAATTTTGAACTGCTAAATAATCTTTCTTATTGTGATTTGACAACGTTCTTTTTTCTACTTAGATTTTATTGGTAGATACTGCATAAAATATGTATTAGTGCACTTGGTTTGTTACTTAATTAGCATTGGAATAGTTTGTTTTTAAAGGGATTTCTTATCAATTGCGTGTTCTATTCCTTTATATTTCTACCAATAATGATTTACTTGGTGAATATTTTCTGATTTATTTGTTCTGGTTTTATCATGCTTAATTATGTCTGATGTATATTTTAGAATGTATTGGTTATTAATATTTACTCTGAAGTTCAGAGAGGTGATGTCCTAGACCTTTCTTTTAGACTGTTACATTTCTAATAAATAAGTCTTATACCTGTATTTCTATATCAAAGAAACTTCTTTGAACTGTCAATTGACCATGCTCAATTGCTTAGTAATAATCATACTCATTGTAGGTTTACCTGAATGCCTCAGTAAGTTGGTGACTAATTTTGAACTACTAAATAATCTTTCTTATTGTAATTTGACAATGTTCTTTTTTCTACTTAGATTTTACAACAAATGCGAAGTGATGTAGCCTTGCTAGCAGTAGAAGAAGGTGGTTCACCCATTCAAAATCCTTCTACAGCATCTGAAGATGCGCGCTTAGCATCTCTTATATCCCTTGATGGCATATTGAAGCAAGTCAAGGTTTTCAGAGATAAACTTGATCCATATATTTCTTAAAATGATTTTGGGATCATTCTCTTGATGAAGCCCAACAGACTATAAATTAAACATTTTATGTTACAGGAAATAACAAGCCAGGCCTCTGCAAACACACTGACTAAAAGTAAGAAGAAAGCAATGCTTGCATCTCTGGATGAACTGGCAGAGCGAATGCCCTCTCTTCTTGATATTGACCATCCATGTGCCAAAAAGCAAATTGCAGATGCTCGTAGTTTGGTAGAGGTATGCTACAAATCTTGTCTTCTGCAGCACAATATACTTCTCTCATAAGTGGTTTTCTTCAGGCTTCAAGCTAATCAAGAAGATATGCAACTATGTGGTAATATGTATTCTCATAAAGTGTCATTGGGTTAATTTTCTTCAGGCTTCAGTGTTGGGTGTGTAGGTAGTTCTTTGCCTTGTGAGTGGGAATAGAATACAATCATGAACAGCTATCAAACCCAATATTCCTAACCTGTCCATTATAGTAGCTTGTATTCTGATTTTTTGCCTCTCTTGGGCAGATATTGGAAATAGATTATTCAGTTTTTTTTGGTGGTGAAATTATCCAAGAAATATAAAATTTAGGGTGTAAAATTTCTTATGAAGTACAAGCAATTTCTGAATCATTCTTATTGGCTTGACTCTTCAGTCCATTCCAGAACAAGGCGACCATCTTCAAGAAGCACATGCATTTCAACCTGCAGATTGGGGATCAGGTGCTGAAACTGATGTGTCACAATGGAATGTCCTGCAGTTCAACACAGGCTCAACAACACCATTTATCATCAAATGTGGATCAAACTCTAATTCTGAGCTGGTTGTCAAAGCAGATGCTCGTGTTCAGGACCCTAAAGGTGGGGAAATTATCAGAGTTGTCCCGAGACCTACCGTATTGGCAAATATGAGCGTGGAAGAAATGAAGCAGGTATTTGCACAACTTCCAGAGGCTTTAAGCTTGCTGGCTCTAGCAAGGACAGCAGATGGAACCCGAGCTCGATATTCTAGATTGTACAGGACTCTCGCAATGAAGGTCCCATCACTGAGGGATCTAGTTGGTGAACTTGAGAAAGGAGGGGCATTGAAAGATGTGAGGTCATAAGTGAAGGGCTGGAGTTTTTTGCAGATGCCTTGTATACTTTGTATTAAAGACAAGCCTCTATTGATATGCCCTAAGTTATTCTTCGGGACTGTTAATATCATTTTGGGATTTGTATACAGAAGTTGTTTACTACAACAATAGTATTTATTTAGTTGATTTATTCTTTGGAATGAAGGTTCCTGTTCAGATGTAATACTTAAGAGTCGGGTCGGGTAGGGAGTGTAGAGAGTTACTACTGTCGCATTTTTTATCCCCTTTCTGTAGGTTTTAAAACAACCCAACTTTTAGATTTCAATAATTTGCCCCTTGACTCAATGTTAGGCATGGTTTTAAAAAATGACCTGGAAACGGAACCGTTATGGCCACTGATTTCTGGGTTGATGGCTTGACTGTTCGGTTTGAATGGATGGCCCATTCTGACAATAAAAAGATAATTAAAAATAAATAACGGTCAAAAACTATTGAATGACTTGATGGTTTAACTGCTTGGATCAATGGGTTGTTGACCGATTCAACGATTTTTGGTTAAGGATCGAGTTTGGGGTAAAATGGAATTGATTGTCTGGATGATTCCTGGGCCAAATGGTCTGACCGTCTGAATCAACGGTGGTTCAGAAACCATGATGATAGGGTTGATAGTGAACATAAAATTACCTAAGTGTCCATTTAGGCCAACATTAACAAATAATCAAATGATGAAAATAAGCATTCTAAAGCACCAATCCTTTTCAAAGCATTGATTTTTTTAGGCCAGTTTTCAAAGCATTAATGAATTTTAAAGGAATCGGGATTTCCTGCAATGGGTTTGGTGGGTACGGGATGCACTTCAATCAGATTGCCTTGATGTTACAGCTACTGCTAATAGTATGAGCTTTGGGTTCACCACTATGCCTTCCAGTTACTTTTCATGGGCCTAAGGAAAATGAGAAATGTGTTGATGCATTCTAAAAACTCTTATGAAATATTTGATATGCCACTAGAATTTTCAGCTTGCATGATAGACTCCTCGAATAAAATCAACCATCGGAATATGCAGAAAGTCCTAACTTCCAATTGATGTCCATTTCCCAGTATATGTTCACTTGCCAGGTTCTATCGCTTTCTTGAACCGAAGTTTTTTTCCATCCAAAACACACTCAAAACATCATTTTTTTTTTTTTTTTTGCATTTTCTTCAATTCCAACTGAAAGAACAATAGCGGTGGAGTAAAACAACAGATCAAATAATCCCAACCCGAATCCTTTCTGTTAATATCCAAAGGCCTTACATAGTTTCCTTGAAATGTAGCTGTGTCTACATTTTCAATGGATCTAATTACCAGACAAATCCCATTAAATTTAGATTCATAATTTCATCTTGGAATTTAGTTATGAGAATTAGAAAAATTGTATTTGAGGCCTTGTGCCACTCTTCACTCAAAAGGGTGAGAGTCACCAGATTGGCCTGCCCCAACTTAACATCTTTCCATGGTTTTCAAACTGTCATTGACCCAGATAGTCGGACTGTTCGGCCCAGGAACCGTCTAGGCAACTAGTTCCATTTTACCATAAATCCGGTTCCTAGCCAAAAATCATTTAATCGGTCAATGACTCATTGACCCAGGTGGTCAAACCATCAATTTATTCGACCCGTTCAATGGTTTTTGACCATTTTTTATTTTAATTATTTTTTAATTTTTAATTTTTTTCTCAAAATGGACCATCCATTCAAACTGAACAGTTGAGCCGTTGACCCGTAGACCGGTGGCCAGAATGGTTTCTGTTCTGGGTCGTCTTTTAAAACATTGCATCTTCCTTTGTCTTATTCATCACATCTCAGTTATGGGTAATAAAAACCACACAATCAGATTTCGGAATTGATACAAAATCCAATTTCGAGGTAAAAAAAAAAAAAATAAAGCAGTAAAACACCCAACTCAAGCAGAAGACAAGAAACTCACAAAGAAAAAACGATTCAATAGATTGATTTCATTTTAGACTGGGCACTACACATTTTTTTTACCGTTGAAAAATGAAAGAGAGTAACAGGGGTGCTGATGAAGACTAAAGCTGGATGTTGGATGTCAAACTGGAGAAGAAGAAGATAAATCGTTCTTCACTTTTTTAAGTTTCAATTCTGGACTCAATTTTAAGATGAGCTCTTCTTAAAGAAAGTTGAGAGAAACGTATGTAAGAGTTAGGACTTTTCGAAATACTAACTTACAGAAGGCAAAATGATCTCATAAAGGCGGTGTTCGGAACCACGTAAATCTCATGGACTTGACCGAAAACGGTACCATCCACAGGATTTGGTCTCGTTTGGCTGGGTGTGGATGGGACCGGTCTTGCCCACACCCCAATATAGCGTGGACAGGTCCTGTCCACACCCCAATATATTTTTCAACGGCAAAAACTCGTAGACACGTCCCCTCCACATTTTATTTTTGATCCCATGCTTCAAGGAGCATGGGTCAAAGGCTGTGTGAACCAAGACAGATTGCAAATACACAGAGATACACCTTCAGTTTTATTTCTGAAAATCTTGCAGTTACATTTTGGTTGTATGATCTAAAATATTAATTATTTTACTTAATTTTTTAATTTTGATAAATTTTTAATGTTTTTTATCAATAAAATAGTATTTTTAAAAATTTAAAATATTTTTTAATTATTTTATAAAAATTAATATTTATTGGTTAATATTAATTTATTGATGCATTTTTTAAATATTTATCATATAAAATACAAAAATTAAATATTTATGATTAATTGTGTATATCATTTATAAAATGTATATGAGATACATGGAATCAAAAAAGTGTTGTGTAGACTAGTCCGCACCATGTTACAAAACACCACTATGAGTGTGGACCGGTCCAGTCCACACAATTTGTCCATAGTTCAAAACAACTATGGATTGTGATGTGGTGTGGATTGGTCCTTGCCATAGGGTGTGGTGTGGAACAGTCCACACCCACTAATTTCTCATCCACACTACAGAACACCCCCTATAAATAATGGTAATTTGATATTTTAAAAATGTTTAAGAGAATATTCCATAAAGTTAATCGGTAGCATTTTAGTAGTGGGCAAAGTGTTGGAATCCAAAAGTTTATGGGGGGCTTTGTGTCAAAACAAAGTTCGAGGGAAGGCTGTTTCACTAGCCCCAGAATAAATGGTGGTTGTATGTAATTTATCCCAAAATACCAAGGTTTTTAAAACCGGATTGGACAAGGAACTGTTCTGGGGTCCAGTTCCCGTGTCAAATGGTCTGACCATCCAGTCCAAACAGACAGCCCACTCTGACAAAAAAAAATTAAAAATGGATAAACAATGTTGGTCTAATCGACAATTTAATGGTTTGGGGTAAAACAAAACCAATCAAATGACCGGTTCTTGGTTTTTCCGGTCCGACCATCTAGTCCGATCTGGTTTTAAAAACACTGCAAAATACAATTAATTCTTTCTGCACTTCGCAGCCTGCAGCCTTTGTGAATTGAGTGTTACGGCATGTCATCCAAGCTCTGTTACACTCCACACGATAGGTTTAGATAAGTTGGAACTGAATTGAACATGACATATCAGAATTCAAATTGGGTTGGATATGGATGGCAGGGTGTTATTTTTGTTGAGACTTGAGAGTGCAAGCCAAGACCTGATCTGATTAAAAGGGTCTGATATTGATCCAGATCATTGTGTTTTTGATATGGATCCGGACAAGGATTTTTATCCTTGTATATCTTCTAATCTGAAGCTGTCTGGTTAGATTTTATTTGAGGTCCGGCCCATGAATGACTTTATTTCTTCAGAGCCCATTTGATTAGCTTTTTATTATATATTAATAATTTGCCCATAAAATAGAGACATTTATCTTTATTCATCAACGGTGACTTGAAGTTGTTTGGTTATAGAAATTTGTATAAATTATGAATAAAGAAAATTAGGTATAGAACAAAATTAATCTAATTTGAGTGGGGAGACGGTTGCTTTTCTTATCTTGGCACAACATCTCAGCATGCATTGAAAACATTTTCTATACTTATCAATGAGAAATGTTAATATGCTGTGAATTGCATTTTCTGGGGCCCATGCAAATTCATCTTATCTTCTATCTAATTCTTATATGTTTAATAAAACAGTTATAACTATGTCTCTTTTTGTGAAAACAATTATTATGTTTTTCGTTTTAAGGAGCATTTTTTAATATGTATGTATATAACACCTAATGGTGTCTAATAGTTAACGAGCAAATTACACTTTGGGTCATATACATAACCCAACAACTCTCCCGATTTTCCATGCGTCAATGAAGTAAGAATAACAGGTCATAAGAAAAGTACCATAATACCAAACACCATCACAGTCATTTGATTCTGCCCTTGTTCCGTTGGTCTAGTTAAGGATCTGATTTTATTTGGACCACAATGATAGGGTAAGAAACAGGTTTACTTTAGGCCATGTTCGGTTGGGGAAAAGTTTGGTCAATGAGATTGTGAATTCTATTGACTAATTTACCTGTGTTGAAATTTTAAAATCATAACACTCGGCTAAATTGGTTTTCCGAGTGGAGGGTAAATAGATAAAAAGGAAAATCTCAAAACAGTGTCTCTTCGACTTCTTTCCCGGATCTCAACCCTGCGTTTCTCCTCTCACCTCTCGGCTCTGCATTTCTCCTCCTCTTCGGCTCGTATTCTCTTCACCGACGCCCAACATCTTCCTCTCTTCACGGAAAGAGAGAAGGCGAAGGACGCAATAATTCTTTTAGATCCGTGGCACTTTTTCTCCGGAGAAGCAAGGTACTTGGATTTTTAGGGCTAGTTCAGCAGATCTTGCAATACAATGTTGTCTAATTTCATCTTTGTCAGCTAGGTCATGCTGAGATTCTCAGTGCTTGAGTTTTAGCTATTCATGTTTGTTTTATTGGTTCTGAGCTGAAGATCTAAGGGTTTTCTCACTTATTAGATGAAGAGGTCGAAATCTTATAGTTGCATGGGATCCTGAGGCGGATCTAGCGTAGTTCGGTGTGTTTCATTCGTGTTCTGTAGTAGCTTTATTTCTTTTAGCTGGAGAAGGTGTATAATGTGCTCTCTTTTATGTTTGTGTGGACTATATGAACTTTTCTGTGTTTTTTTTCGGCCCTGTATGTGTTATTGGTGGGGATATGATGTAGATCTACACTGATTTGATTCGCTTCAGCTAGTTCTTGTTTCGAATATCCTTTTTTTTTTTTGTTTTTTTTAGTCAAAAGGAGTTTTCTACATTGTTAAGTGTGAACTAACCTTTTATATTTGGTTTTTTAGTGATCTCGTGTAATTTGTAATTATACAGTTATTTGAAGTTTTCCCATTTTGCAGTTCTTGTCTTAGTATCAGTGAGAAGGTCAAAAGGGAACAAATTAGGCTATCTGTTCCTTATTTGGGTTTGTATCTGAATTTGATATTTATTTGGCTTCGTTCAAAGGCTTTATTATTTTTTGAAATTGTAATAATTGCAGTACACTGATCATTGCTAACAGGCATGAGTTGTATGTGCTAACCAACATACTGTAATTATAAATGTTTCAGAAGCTTTTGGATTCTGGTTTAAAAATGTTGACTCAAAAGGCATGATGATTATAGTATTTGGTCTGTTTCATGGATACACATTCTTAAGCTTAGCAGTTCATTGTAATGGCCATGGGTGTGTGGACAATGTTATCTTCTTAGGGATTTTTGCCAGTTCATTGTAAGGTACACCTTCTTTGTTCCCAATCTAAAAAGCGTCTTCTCAGGAATTTTTGCCTACGTAAGGCAAAAAGAGAAAAAAAAGAACTTTGTTTTTAGCCAAAGTATATGGCTTCAGTTGAAATATCTTCAATTTCCAGTTCATAAATTTCCTAACATCTTCAGTTACTGATAAAAAGAAAATTCCTAACATCTTTGCGGTATATCCTAAAACTTTAACATTAGGATGTTAGAGATTTCTGTGAACTATGATAAATGGTTAAGGATGTTTATTTGTTGGGCACATCACTTATTTATCCCATTTTCTTCAGGCACCAACAAACTATCAAGGGTTAGATTTCCATACACGTGCACTACAACAAAGTAAAGTCCATCTTTCTTGGAATGAGGATGAGCCTCAGCGTTTGAACACCTTAAGATGGAAATTAAATGATGATCAGGTATGTGAATTCATACACCTTTTTTCTTTAGCCATCTATGCTACGACTTGTTCTATTCTATGGACTATAATCTATGTCTATGGTTTCACCATTTTGTGTACTGGAGTTTATGGGGAGAATAACAAGTTGTTTGGAAATACTAAACATGCTTATACCACCTTAGGGACTTAGTAGAAGGTTAAAAGCATTTTGTCAAGCTACTTAAATGGTGCAACTGCTATTACCTTAAAAAAATTGTTTCCTTTATTTTTTTCATTGTCTTTCTCTTCCCAAACCCTGGGACTTTGAGCAGATTATCCAATTTGAAAATGAAAAGAAAAGTCATTATAATATGGGTTGGGTGGCTTGCCGTGTATTGGGCATGCTCCTTGTTCACAACTACTTGTTGTATCTTCTACTTTAAATCATTAATGATTTTTTCTTGTTGATTGTTGTTTGATGATAAAAATGATAAGAAAAGTCAAAATTATTACAAAAATAAAGTACAGAAGGAGAATTTGTTACTATTAGCCGAAGTTAAGGAGAGACAACAGAATTTTCCCTAACAAGTATTGTAGTTTGAGCTGATAAAAAAATTTTCTGGTTTCAATTTACATTCTTCTTTAGCCCCACATGAGGTTTGCAGATAAGTGATTGTCTGGTTCTGATAAGTTAGGAGCAAGGAATCTCCATATTTATGTAAGCATCTAGGTTCTTGTCTCATAATTGTAGTTTATCTTTAACATTCGAACTTAAATTCCCTTATTTTTTTAATGAAAAGGAAATGATTCAGTTGAGTTTGTTCATGCAGAAAAGCTTGTGGCAGAGAGAAGCTCAGACCATAAAAAATGGGGGTTAACAGAGCCTGTGCTATTGGATGAGGGTGGTTCAGTCGAGGCAGTTCTTGGAAAGAATCCTGAGGTCCATTATATTTATGTTTGTACCAAGGTCTGTGATTCTAATTTACTGTAAATTCTGTGATTTATTTTTGGCCCTGCTCTTAACCTTGGCAATTGGTTTTTTCCTACCTGGCTTGGGCTCTGTAAATTTTTTCACCAAAATGACCAGCCTTGAAACAATGACTCTAGCTATGGACTAAGCAGGGATACTTTAACCATGCATCTAAGGCCTATTAGGCCTGTGTCTTGTGCATTTACAGGATAAGCGCACAACCGGGATTGGAGCATGATAGCGACTGTTGATAGAAGAAAGTGAAGAATGCGTTTGTGAGTTGGTGTTGAGATTTTTATCCTCCATACTTGGGTATTCCAAGAGTGTGCTATTTGTTTGTTTGTTTTTTTTTTTTTTATAGATAGAGTGTGTTGTTGTTAGAACTTGAAACATTTGATACAAATGTATTATTATTACCTTACCGTACTCTTGAATTTGTATTTCAACTTACCGGAAAAACCGGGAACCACAAATCTTCACTTCTTTCATTACAGGAAGTAGCAGATAAACTTATGCTTCAAGTGTTTCGGGTCCTCACATTATTTTTTTCTTCATTTGTTGTATATGCCCATTTGTGAATTTCATAACTGTGATTTTGAAGGTCAAAGGATTGATATGATCTTATAAGCATTGACATTTTAAACTCTCCTCTGCTATTTGTTATTTGTGAAACTTCAATGGTTCATTAAATAACCAGAACTAGTTTGATTTTCATAAAGAAATCCATAAATTATGACAAGAGTCTTAAATGCCCAAAATTTGAGCCCAAAATAATGGYAGATGGTGTTTTCTTCTATCGTTCTAGAGGAAAATTTTGAATTAGGCTCAAATTAGGTTTAAAAGAAGAGGCAGCATGGTTTATTTCAAAAAATTCTAGGGGCATTTAAGACTTTGTGACATGGTTTTCAAATCCATGTCCAAAAAAAATAACATGGATTTGGGCCAAAGGGTAAAATTGGAGAGAGATGAAAAAAATAACAATTTACTGCACTTACCCAGGTAAGTGTTTCCGAAAAAAGAACATGGCCTTAATCCCAAACCAAAAGGGTACGACCACATTTAATCATATGGTGGGATCTGTGGTAGATCCATACCATCCATGGTATACAATACCCAATTCATTGATTACATCTTCAAACTCAAAAGCCATATCTATGTCTATACTATATAAAGCCGATACTTTGATACTTGTGTTGGATGTGCACATTATAAAAGTTAAATCCACTATCATATTACCTTGATATTAGATTAACCAAAAAAAATCAAAATGCCATATTTCATATGGTTAATATTTTTTCTCATATGTGCATAATGCTTACTATTTTGCTAAAGGAGGTTTGTCAGCTTTCTTAAAGTTTGGAAAATCAAAATTTGGTCTTTCTATGTTTGGCAATAAAAGACGGGAGATCAAAAAGACATATGCCCAGAAATGCTCTCAAGGCTTCGTTTTGTTTGTGGGAAGATTTGGGTGGGATGGGATGGGAAAGTGTAAAAATTTAACTTTTCATTGTTTGATTTTATATGGGAAAATAATAGGAAAATTACCCAACACAAAACAGAGATTTCAGAGGTTCAACCTGTAGAGGTCAATCCGTCCTCATCGTCGATAAATGCCTTGGTGAGGATCGTCATCAATGGTGTTACCTCATGCGAAACTGGAATTGGTAGATTCCTCCGATTTGGATTCTACCATGGTGGCAGAGGAAGTCAAAAAGTTGAGAGATGGTTGCAATCTCAAAAGGAGCAACGAGAAGGGTAATCCCAGAAGCTGGTGGCTGCAATCCTAGACGGTATAGGTGTACAATCTCACGAAACTGGAATCGTGAGATGGCCAATGACTGTATCGGTGAGGAAGTCAAGAAGTTGGTGGCTGCAATCCTAGAAGGAGGTATTCTACTCCTTGAGAATGTTAAGTTTTACAAGGAGGAAGAGAAGAACGACCCTCAGTTTGCGAAGAAGCTAGCTTCTCTTGTTGACTTGTAGTGGCGATTACTAGCAGTGGTGGTGGCAGCAGCAACGAGAAGGGCAAAGGCGATTTACTAGCAACGGTGGTGGCAGCATAAGGTAGAAGGGCAGCGGCGATTACTAGCAACAGTGGTGGCTATTACCAGTAGCGGCAATTACCAGTAGTGATGAGGATGAAGACAAAACTCGAGTTTTTTCGAGTTTTCCACCGGGGTTGCACAGTTTTGATGCGAACCCGATTACACAATTTCGGGATCTCGCATCCCACTTTTTTCTCATCCCATCCCCCTGTTTCCCTTGAAACAAATGAGAGAAAAATGAATATTTTTGGAATATTCCCTTTTTCCCATTCCCATCCTACAAACCAAACGGAGCCTAAAAGCTTCAAATGAAACTTCTTGTCTTTGCATCTAAAATTTTTCATTTAACAACTCAATATATAGATCACGGTAGATGATACTTACCAAATGTCTATCTATACTATATATAAAAGTGTGAATGCAATGTGAAGCTTTTTTGGGCTAAAATCACCATCTACTTCTTTGCTTGAGAAAGGGTATAAAAGTCATTTTATTACAACTTTAATGTCACCTTCAATGGCTACTAAAATGCCCATAATTGTGTATTTAGTCCATCTCTAATGGTAAGGTGGAAATTGTAACTTCAATTATTACTTCTCACTTTATTTAATCCACTCTCATTAAGTCTTATACTTAAATTATTAACTCTCATTTTCTCTTATTAAATTAGATCTGTGTCAATATTTTTAACAATATAAACTCATATATTTTAAAATTGACAAAAATAAAACAATTTTTAATCTAAGTGGTTGCTAAGCAATTCAACCATCAAAATCAAATTCATTAACCTACGAAGTCATAGTTAGGTAAGAAAATTTATAAAATAAAAATAAATATAGAAACTTACAAAAATATAGAAAAAATTAGGTACATTTATGATATTTTTATCAATCAAATTAAAAAAATAAGTGTAATAACCAAGAATTATTTTGATTGATAATGGAGATGAAATACATAATTTAGACTTGACCAAAAGTGAAACTATTTTACTATTTGGCAAAGATCAATAGTTCAAAATTTTGGTCAAGCATGTTAATCTTTAATGTCATAAATAAATAATAAAAGTTAATAAAATATAAAAATACAAAAATAAAAAAAATACATAAATTTTGCAAAAAAAAAAACACAATAAGATTATAGAAAAAAATTAAACACATCTATAATTCTATATTTACACTACTATTAAAAATATGAATAACATTGTGGAAATTTCTTTTGACTAAAATACTTAATTTTGAATTTAGTCCCTATTTAACAATGGGGATTTAAATTCTAAATTAAGCTAGTACTTTTCACCCCATTCAATTCCCTCTATTTAAATCTTACATTTTTTTTTGAAAAATGAACCCAAAAAATTAAATATTACAAAAAGAAGAATTTAGCCAAACAAGTATGCTATCAATGATACTTGAAACTTCACAACTCAGTCCAATTATCACATATTTGGATGAGGTATATATGTAATCAGATTTGGATTTTCAATTCTCATCTGATTAATAATAAAAAACAATATATATATATATAAACAAAATAAAAATTACATAAAATTTATAAAAAATTGGATATATTATTACTATCATTATCATCATCTAGAATTACCACGTGCAAAATACATACACTTACTAGTATCTTTAAAAGCATGAACCCAAAAACACATTACATCTTTTGACCATCTAAACTATTGAAATATCTTCCTAGAAAAAGTTGGCAAACGACACCTAACTTAATCATAGATATACTTGATGGTGCGTAATCCGGTCACTCCTAACTGGAACTTACGTGGCTCTTGGAAGGTACCTGAGATGGAGAAGAAGAAGAATCCCCGGGGGTCACCCGACGGGAACACTCCGACGCTTAAGTTAGTATTCTGCAGGAGAAGCAAGGAGAAGAATAAGGCTAAGAGTGGACATAGCGCGTGAGTAGAAGATCATACCTCCGTTCCTTGATACCAGCTCCTTATAACAGAAAT